CCATGGTCTGCAGGATGACTTCAGAAGACATTGTGGGTAAGAATAGAAAGAATGAGTGATTTTTTTTTTTTGAGTTTTAGAATTTGAGGGAAAAGATTTAAGTATAATGGAGCAATTTTCCTGTTAAAGGCCTCTTTCCAATTTCTATTTTCCCTGCTTTTTAAACAAATCTAACTTATGCATTACAAAAGTCATTCTTGTTCATTTTCTGTCATCATTTTTCTGTAAATGCCACTTTGGCTACAGTATTCTTTAAAACACACTAGAACAGCAAAGGCAAACATCTGAAATTATTTAAATACATAGGTAATTATAGTACTATTATAGATTATAGTGATAAAAGCTTATTGTACAAGGGATCCAGTAATAAAATATGGAGCTACCGTGGTCTCTCAATGAGCCTCTCTAATTGTTTTTGCATTTTTTTTGACAATGTTTACTTTTCTGATACTTTTAGCAACCTGATGCTATATATGTATTTCCCTCTGGCTAAATCACTTGAAGATGGGTGACTATATCACTGCATGCATTCTAGATTTCAGTCAATAAGTAGCAAGACAGAATGGGTATTAGAGCAATTTATCTCAAATATTTTTATTTCTGGCATCATCCAGCAGTCAAATTTTTGTTTATGTGTATGGACCCTTCAGAGTTGCAGCAGAAATAATGGCTTGTGTTATATAAATATGTTATCATAAACAACTTTAAGTATTCATGATCAGAAAGTAGTATGGTTTACTCAAGTCAGATGTGTGTGTAATTTCCTCTGAAATAATCAGGACGGAAACATAGACATATGGACCTACTATTTTGTAATTATCAGATTTGTTAGTATTGCTTTATGAATGAAGCAAGAATATGCCTTATATCACTTGTTGCCAATAGGTTATTGTTTTACATCTAGGTGTAAATTTAGAAAGCTTATGTGCGTGCATGTAGGTGTGAACGGGGACGCTAGCGCGGGGCGAGTATCCACAGCCTGTTTGCGCATATGCGAAAGGAGCTGCAATCTGGGTGGGTTGCACAGCCCGTTTGTGCATGCACAAATGGGGTCGCTAGCCATTGCAGGGGGTGCGTGACCGTTCATGCATGTGCATGGTGCTAGCACATGCCACATGCGCGAATGGGGCCGCTAGTGCTGTGCCAGTGTGTACGGTCCTATGTGCATGCACGCACACCAATTTTGAAGCTGCTCTCCTTCCCTCTGGTTCGTGAGCCCGGAAAGGTTGGAGACCTCTGTCCTAGAGCAGGGGTCCCCAACCCCCGGTCCATGGACCGGCACTGGGCCACGGCATGCCAGAAACTGGGCCGTGCAAACAAGCAAATCCCCATCCACGGGATGCAGACAGCACACGAAACCACGGGGGGAGACCAGACGTCTTTTTGGAGAGAGGTGTCTTGGTCAGGGACCACGGGTTTACCAGGATCTCCTAGAGTAGAAGTAGTATTAAAACACAATGTACTTACATACTTTAATAAACTTACAAATCAATTAATTGTTTTGACTTAGTTAGTGGGGAATTACTAACGACATGATAAACTTATCAAAAGTATTACGAGAGATACTCATTTTTGGTCTGTGCACTTTTATTTCATCACTGTAAAGTAGTTTGAGCTATGTTTTTGTGATGCACTTCATTGAGCAATATATTCCAGTTAGCCATGATGTCTAAAAGAAACAAGAAGATTAACAGGGATTCCCTCACTGCTGCAGAGAACAAAGAGCAGCCTTGTGAAAACTGAGTTGCTATAAAACCTCAGCCCCATCAAAGAGTTTTTAAAGGGAGGCAGTGTGATGCAGTTGTGCTGGGCCTATATATGTATAGGACCCTGTCCAAAGTATAATTCAATATCAGTATGATCAATATCTTTCCTTCAAGAAGGTAAAATTAATCAATCAAAATACAGTGTTAGCAATATTTCAGATTTCTCCACATACTACTATTCTGTTGAATTCAGTGTACAAAAGGAGTAAACTAAAAATATATTGAAATAGGTAATGTCTAGAAGCAAATAGAGGGAAGAAAGTACACAAATGAATATTTTGTGCATTGGCTTTTTATTGTCTTAAGAGGATTCAAAGCACTACTGCACTTTATGTTAATTTCCAGATAATGCATGCCAGTTGCAAAGTGTCTGAATTTTGACATGTGACCACAGGGATGCTGCAATGCTTGTAAGTGTGAAAAATGGTCATAATTTTTTCAGTGCCGTTGTAACTTCAAAAAGTCACTAAATGAATGGTTGTAAGTTAAGGACTATTTGTAATTCAAAGTAAATTAATTACAGAGGTGAGGGAAATTCAGGCTCATAAATTAATGGCATCATTTGTAATACCAAAGTAGCGTAAGTTTATAAATCTCATTACTATTGGCAGAGTTTCAATTTACTCTTCAACAGCAACGAGAGATTTAGGCTGCAAGGGCAAAGTATAGTTCATGAGTTTTGTGATAGGAATACATCCTGAGAGAAAAAATAGAAGAGAAACTTTTTACTGCTTTAAAGTTATATTTGTTGGAATTGAGCAGAACATCAGATTTTATTCTAAAAAGGTGATTTGTATCAGGTGGGGTTTGTGAATGTAGCATCTGTTTTCAACTCATTAAAGCAGTTGCATTTTTTCCTGAATTTGCACACTTGCCTTCTGTATGTGTTATAGAATACTGAATAAAGATGTAGATTTTGTTTATTAGTTGCAGACAGGTGCTATATTTACACCAACACTTACTTTGAACAACTTTGGAATCAAATCCGAAGTTCTATGGAGTTTCAGTATAGTTATATGTCTGCATTTGGCTAATTGTGAATGTGCTTGTGTGAAAGAGTGGAAAAAATAGAAATAGAAAGTGGATGGTCAAGGTTATATGGAATGGGTAGGGGGAGAAGCAGTACGGGAACAATGGGCTATTGTACCCACAGATACGTCTTCCTGTGCTGATGGATACTTGGGGATACTTGTAGTTTATAATAATTTTGGTTACAGTTAAAAAACAATTGGAAGGCCAAAAAATACTTCAAATGAACCTGCTTTTTTGACTCCTGAATTAATTATTAAAAATTGGAATGTTAATTTTAATTGGCTGTTTACGTTTCAAATAATATACCTTTTGTTAAAACAATTTTAAATTTAAAAATAGTATTTTTTTAATTAAATACTTTGACAAAAACAATATGTGGAGAGATAGAAGACCTAGGAGCTAGGTAGTTCCTGCAGGTGCTTATTCTTGGTCCACCTACCATAATAATGGCCAGAGGCATAATTTTCCTGCAAACACATTCCTTAGTATCTGTCAAGCTCTTGCCCTAGCTAAATTTATATTCTTTTTAGTTTTCAATTTAGAAAATGAATGGGAAACAAATAGTCATACTAAAAAAATGAAGCCAACAGGAAAGGAATTCAAGGGCTGGACTTAGATCTCTTGTGGGTGCGAAGGGACTCATGACTATTTCACACTGCTGTAAAAGTCTGTGTACAAAGTGTCCCCACACAAGTGTCCCCACACAAATAAAAAGGCCCCAATTCTGTTGGCCTTTCAGAAAGCTTTAAAAACTTGGCTAGGTACCTAGGTCTTGGTCTTGGAATGTATTAAGGGAGCTGTTACTTGACTTTACTATTGGTCAATTAATCATCATAGCTGCTATTTATACTTATTTATTTTGTGGATTTTTAATTGTTTAAATGCTTTTTAATTGTTTTATAATTTAAGAATTGTAAACTTCTCAGAGTCATTTGGTTGAGCTGGGCAGCTTTAGAAATTGAATACATAAATAATCAGGGCAATGAAATAGTTATATATAGATAGTGCTCAATTAGTGAACACAGTTGTGACTGGCAGTTTGGTTGCTAAGTAGAAAATCATGTAACTGGGACTGTGCTTATGGTTTTATTTCAGCTTTCCTTTCTTTCCACTCTTCCAACCTCAGAATGCTCATCCATTAGCAAGAAGGGAAATAATGTTTGAATTTACAATCATTGCAGAGGAATAAGTTTACTCTTTTGTAATCCCAACCTCTCCAGTCTCTTTGCTTTGCAAGGTGAGGTGGAGAAAGGAGGAAAAAAAATAGGTCAAGCACAGGAGATTGCTTAAAGAGATTGTTTTTGCAATCTCTGTATTCTGTGATGGTGTGGGAGAGGAAAAAAAAGTGTAAAGCACAGGACAACATATTCTAATTGATTGAAATGGTGAACACATGACTGAGAGAGAAGCTGTGAATGTCATAAATGCACATCTTGTTTGCAAAGTTATCTTTCAGCATTGTCATAACTTTGAATGGTTTACTGCTTAAGCCAGTTGGTCAGCAAAACCTACCTATACTGGAAAGTTACTTTCCTTATTTTGAAATGTACTACTAAGGAATAGTATGGTGTGCTCTGCTTGTTAGGCTACGTGTTCAATGATATTTGACTATTGGTTAAACTTTCTGAGATTTAAACTAATCTAAAACATCTGGAGGACACTTATTTATCTGCAAGTGAAAAAAGAAGAAAAATAATAAATATAAGTAGCAATTTCAACTAAAGTGATTTGTGCTTACTAAAAATTTATCATCACATTCATTTATAATACATTGTTCTTTTTATTTTGGGTGATATCTTTGAAAGGAAGATTCAGGCAGCCACATGTTTTGATCCACTGAATTATTGGTGAGGGAAGAGTGTGTATGTATTTTGCAGAGGCACTTTTTCTCCTTGTAATCTAGAATGTCATCTTCTGACCTGATGCTAAAGATTTGGTGGGGATACCGCCAGGAACTGCAAAGGAAAGGGATCATAAATGAATTTTCATCTGTTCTTGGAAATTTGTCAGCATTTGGATTCAACTGAATATAACTCATTTATTTTATTCCAGCTCATTTTCACACATACTTAATTATTTTTCTCCTAAGGAGTGGAGTAAATGTGTATGCATATGTGTGAGAGACTGAATGTACATGTATCTATATGTATTTTATAACAGAGTATTTTGCTTCAGTTTGTTATAAAAATATTATTTTTCTAGAATGCCAACTAATGAAAACAGAGAGACCAAAGCCGAACACATTTATTATTCGATGTCTTCAGTGGACCACTGTGATAGAAAGAACATTTCATGTAGATACTCCAGAAGAACGGTGAGAAATAAATCCAAGTGTGTCTTGTTGGGCTTTTTAAATGTTGGCAGAGTTTTTAGAAGAAGAAAAAATGCATTTTGAGAATTTGTGTTCATTTATTGAAATTATGAGTTAAAATATTCCTAGTTCATAGGTAACAGCTACAAATTAATTATAGGATTTAATTGTGACTTAAAGTTGACTTGAGTTGTGTCAGACCTTTAAGGTAGGCAGAGTCAAGAAACAAAAGTAGCAGAACTGTAGAAAAGCTTTGTGTTAACATATGATAGAAAAACAGAATCTTGAAAGCCTGTGAAAGTTTCTATCTTATGCCAAACAAAATCAAGGCAGGTTTATTTTGAATTTCTCTCTCATGCTTTCCACTTTCTCAAGACAAAGTTGTCTTTTCTTATCTCTAAACATTTATTATCCTCTTCTCCCTTCCCAAGCTCAATACTTCATATTATTTCCCCTGCCAGAAACATACCTCCCCTCCTGCACATGATAATGGGCCAGAGAACTCATCATCAAAGCGTTACCCTTGTATTAGTAAAAACACACTTATACTCAAATCGTCAAACAGTTCCAGTCATTTATTTAGACTACTTCTACCTCTACCTTAACCTTTCACGGAGAATAGGAGGACAACATGTCGTTGACGTTGACTTCTTAGACTGAACCGTCCCTTGTTTCTAAGAAGAAGTAAGATCTCAGTCATAGACCGTTAAGACCATGCAATTCACAGGGACAGGTTTTGTGTGAAAATTTCAGATAGAACTGGCAGATAATCCTTTGCTCCCTCCCACAATCCCTTCAATGCAGAGTATTCAGTTCAGTTATTCTACATATCCCTTCCTACAACTGGAGCCCACATTATGTTTTGCCTTGCATTCCTTTCTTCATTTACCAGGACACCCGGCAGAAGGCATTTCCTCTTGGACAAGGAGTAACCGGTGAAATACCAGATTAATCAAGGCTAAAGCAGGCAATTGCAGAAGGATGGTCACTGGGATAATCTGATGTGTAACAGGGAAGAGGTATAGAAAGTAAAGAGGGTGACCTTGACAAAGAGAGGGAAGTTCTGTTACCAAAACAACAAACATAAACATTGCATAAACACAAACAACAGGGATTGGTATGAAATTGTCTCAGAGATACATCTCCAAATTCACATGAAAATTAAAAACAGAGGAAAAACACATTCAGATTTGTAAACTTCTCTTATAGCTAATCTTAATAAAAGTAGTTTTTGGCACAGTTGGCATCTGTTTCTTGGTCTAATTTGTCTTATAGGGCTGACAAGCGGCTAATAAGCTTGGACTCTAGCTTTTTGGATAGGTGGGATGAAGCAAGAAATGCAGTGGAAAACAACACCAAATGTTCTTTAGACTCTTGGTGTCCTCTTGCCTATAAGCATCTGCTGCTCATTTGTACGTAGCCTTGGCTAAAGCTAACTACTCCTTTAATGAAAGTTGTGTAGCTTATGTTTCCTGGTGAGAATCAGAGGCTTAAAGAACAATGGAGGTAGGAGGAATGGAGGGCAAGATCCATAGGTGATAGTTGTAGAGTGCTTGAAAGGCCAACACACTGATGGAGGAATGTGATGAGATGTTATAGACAGATTCTGCAAAATGCAATAAATCAATCCAATTATCTGGTTAATGAGAGACATAGCAAAGGAAGTACCATTCAAATAATGTGTTCCATCTCCAAAATTTGGATATAAGTTGAAAGCCACAGTCTAATATCACATAATTGAGTAAGCACCTATATCGGGAAGTGTGATCTAGAAAGAGTTCTGTAGTCTCTCGAGCAGATAGTAGACCTTGCAAGCAATAACATGAGCTATCTGGGTAAACAAATTCACTACCACTGAATTGACTGCACACCTAGAAGAATAGTAATAAAATCCAAGGACACTGTTCTTATTTAAAGTATTATTATGGTTGGTTGCACAGTCAACCAGACGTTAAGGCTAGAGTTGGCATTTTTATCAACCTATTGAACCCTTCCCAAGGTTCTGTGATAAGCAGATGTTGTTTGATGGTGTTAAAGGTATCATCACACAAGGTAAGTTGTTCCAAGTAAAACTGCCTTTTGCAGTTGACAGTGGTTTTATCAATGCCAGTGGTGTTTCAATGGTGCTCCAGATTAGAGATCCCCAACCGTTCAGGGGTGGCAGCCTGGAGTGGGGGGAAGGGGGAAAGAAGGGATGGTTTTGTGGGGGGAGTGAATGCGTGCGCATGTGTGCACGAACACCCGTTGCTTGCACGAGGGGCCGTGAGTGCTAGCGCAAGTGGGGCTGCAATCACCTGTGACACTCAATGGGGCCACGAATGCCCACATTTGCGGTGATGCTCGCACGAGTGGGGCTGTGCACGCGCACACATGCGCACATGCCAGCCACTCACGAGGCCCAATGGCCAATAGACTGCGGCCCAGTAGTGGGCCGCGGCCCATAGGTTGGGGACCCCTACTCCAGATGTTTTAGTATTGCATGCAAGGCGCCTCTTGGTGCTATATTTGCTTTCTTTTTGCCACAGTTATTCTATTTCTATTTGCAGATCTTTATTCTCTCTCTTCTATTCTATCTCCAGTACTGCAAAGTCCGCTATCTAGATTTTGTTTTCTTTCTTATTGACAATGATTAAAATCTGGGGTTTGTTTGAATTCTAAAGTATTATTTTTATTGGCTTACAACAATGTGAAGTCACAGCTGCCAGTTTGTTAGCTGGTGTTCATCTTCATATGCATCAAGTTCTTCTCAAGAACCTAGAATATCATAATGTATCAGTGTAGTATATGTGTGGATCTAAGTGTAGCATTTTGCAGCACACATTGATTGGTTTATGCCATAATCTTTTAGTTTCACATTTCAGATCTTGATATATAGTGATCTTTTCCAATTCTTTGTCTTCTATTCTACTACCTCCTGATATTGCCATTTCAATTATCCACACTTATTCTTTTCAACTATAGTTATGTCTGGTATGTCATGAGCTGTGAATTTATCAATCTGTATTTGGAAATCTAATAATATTTTAACCTGCTCATATTTTGCTTTTTCAATTATATGTTCCCACCAATTTTTATTACTGGAGATTGTAATTTTACAGATGTTCTGGTGAATCATTTTGGTGACTATATCAAGTCATTGTTTATATTCAGTTTGTGCAACTTCTTGCATGACTGTATGATCTGTTTCTTCTGCTTCTTTGCACAATCTGTACCTTGAATCATTTGACAATTTTTCAGTTCTGGCTATGATTGTATTAGTTTACAGTAAACAGCTTGCAGCCAAAATCAAATCTTCAGTATTTTTTTTAATGTTCCAGTTGTAAGCCATTGCCACACTTTTATCTTTATCCATTTTCTCCTAAATCTTTTCGATAAATTGACCAGGTAATGCTTTTCCCTGCTAGCATTCTACTTATATATTTTACATTATTTTGATACTAACTTTATTTCCTGTACACTTAGTAAGCTCCAGTTTTTAATGATAAATGCTTGTTCTTGGCTGTATTTTACATAATCAGCTAGTGCACAATTTTCTTAGAATAATAGAATTGAAAGATACCTTGGAGGTCTTCTAGTACAACTTCTTGCTCAGATAGGAGATCCTATACCATCTGGACAAATGGCTGTCTAATCTTTCTTGGAAATCTCCAATGATGGTGCACCCACAACGTTTGGAAGCAAGCCGTTCCATTTATTAATTGTTCTCATATACCGGTCCAGTATCTGCTTTTTTAAAAATATAAATGATACTGTGCTTCAATGATTAGATGGCATAGACATTGGTATTTGAGCATAGATCTTTTAAACATATTTTATTGTGTTTTACCTATCTAGATGTAATGTTAATATATATTGCTAGTCCACGTATGATATGCCATATGCTAAATAAATAAATAAACAAATAAATATTCTCACTGTCAGGGCATTTTTCCTTAATTCTAGATTGGATCTCTCTTTGCTAATGAATGAAAGTTTGTTCTTTGAAATAGGAGCATAGGTGATATAGGAACTAAAATGGGAGAAAAAGTTTGCACACTTGATTTGACATTGACTCAGTATTTGTGCCTTTTGTCAATGTTCCAAATTCTTGTATTTTAGTTGTACTTTTATGAGATGGATTGCTTCTTCCAAGAAATGCCTTTATTGTTGAAACACTGCTTTTAAGGCTAGCAACTTTTTATTGAAAATATCATAGTTTTTTTCAGCCAGGAAAAGAAAACTGGAATAAAACATACAAAGGAGGAGGTTCTTTCCTCTGACAAAATTTGAAGAACAGTTCTCAAGGCAGAGTCCAAAGCATCTGTTTGCACATCAAAGGGGTAACTGGGAGCTGGATGTATGAGTGGCAGCTGGGAAGAAGAAATTCTCAAATTCTGAACAGTGGCTTATTTTTGAATAGACCATTCATATTTGTATGCTTTTCCAGAATTAAGGTTTCACAGTATGATGAACCAGCTATCTTCTCTGTCTGGGCATTAAACTGAGTCCTGGCCAGGCAACATAGAAAGATGGGGGAGTTTGTTTATATAGGCCTGATAAAAGTACATAATTCCAGCAGGCACTTCCTCCACAGGCTTCTCTTTGTTATCCTCTGATATCTGCCATCTTCCCCCATTCTGTTTGCCCAATCCCTATTGCTACCTTTTCTTCAGAATAGCCTTTATGCTTAGCAAGCACTGAGTCTGCAGGCACTTACAATCAAGAGCTGTGGATTGCTCACAGGAGGCTATGTTTTCCTGCATCACATATGAATCTTGTGAGCAATTAATTGAACTATAGGGCATTTCTGTATATTTAAATTTGCCATACTGTGTGTCAAAAGCTTTTAAATAATCATGTGATTTGGATCAAATCATGACTGTTTCTCAAGTCTGATGTACTAAAGATGTGTGTGTGTGCCTTCAGAAGGCGATCAAGCAGTTCTAAAAGAAGAGCTAGAGAGTCATTATCTCTAATGGTTATAGATAGTCCCTCACTTATGACCACAGTGGAGCCCAGAGTTT